TTTAGAGTAACAAGAAAAAGCAGAAGAACTTGAGATTTCCCTAGATCAAATTCTATGTGAGGGACTTTACTCTGATCCTCAGGATCAAGCTCTTTTTGATGACCACACCTTGTCCTTATGTAGCACAGCAGCTTGAAAGGCTTGGGACAGGATTCAGGAACTAGGAAAGAGAGTTGAATCATATATTAGGGTTAAACAGGGTTAAATGGAGAGAACCTTTTAGTGACTTTTTGCAGAGACTAACTAGGGCTGTACAAATAGGGGTAACTGACCAAGCAGCTAGACATACAATAATTGAATCTTTGGCTTATGAGAATGCCAACATTGAGTGAAAACAGATCTTTGGACATTTAAAGATCAGATCAGCACCCATGCATAAATGGATCTTGCATACAATGAATGTCGAGACACTTGACTATGGTACTGAAGCATGGGTAGGAGAAGGAATTTCCAATGGTAAGAGAAGACATCAAAATACCAAATATTTTAATTGTGGTAGAATGGGACATATGAGAAGGGATTGTAGACAATGGATTTCTAGGAATAATGCCTCCTTTTGGAATGGCAGAAATAGGAGGACTCAGCCTTCAGGTGTATGTAAGAGGTCTGGCAAAGACCAACATTGGACAACATTGGAAAATTTTCTTGCCTCTGAAAATGGTTTGTCAGTTATGCTAGGCCTTAGCCAAAGTTGGTGGCTTCAATGTTGCAAAATGAGACTTGGGGTGATTGCTCAGGTAGCTAATTGTCTCCATCATATAGTGCTCGCTTTGGAAGCTACTTGATTGTACTTCCTGCCTGCTCAAGTAATATTATTTCCCTTCTCAGGCCTTTGATGGGGTTGAAGATTAGATAAGTCTAGTTACTTACTATACTCTTATGATCTAGTCAAGCCATTTCCTATACGAGACTTAGACTCCATAGGATAGAATGTTTATTAAAATATTTAGCATATGTTCCTTGGCTTAATCTTGTTTATGCTGGTTGTAATTGTAATTATACTTGATATCTGTTACTAATGTATATAGTTTTGTATTGGATTTGGAACTCTCTTACTTAACAAAAATGGGAGGTGCTGTGGGAACACATTCTGCTCCTTCAGCCAATAACTACCCTTTAAGATACCAGCCCACTTGGGCATGGTCTCTTTTACTTCAAAAAGCAGTGGTAGCCGTGTGCATGCTTTCTTGCTTTCCAGCTCCCACTTCCGGCCGCTAGACTCTGTTCCTGGTCGTGCTGAGGGCTGTTGTCTAGGACAGTGATCTGCAAGTTTTTCCCCTGAAATAAATAACCCTTTGATTAATCATAATTCCAAACTGGTGCAGGATTGTTTTGTGACTTGCTGCTCCAGAGGAATATAAGGCAGGAGGAGACAGGGGCTCAATGCAGTCTGAGGAGCAGTGCTGTCTGAGGCAGGCACTCTGAGGATGCAGCCTGAAGAGGCAGTCTGAGGATGGATCAGCCATTGGTCTGAGCATTGGTAGAGGAAAGAACTCTAGTGGCTGACCTTTCTGCTTTTCTGATCTTCAGCATTAACCCTTATGTCTGATTCTGAATTTTTATTATTAATACCAATCAGAATTCATGATACAGTGACATTAAATATTATCAGAAAAACATGTTGAGCATATCCCCTCCCATGCATCCTTTTATCCCCATAAGTCCCTTCAAACTCCACTGGTCACTTTTAACTAGCTAGACAGTTTTATATATATGGCGTCATATATATTGGATTTATATAAATAAATCTCAGAACCACAAACTTACTCCTTTCTTTTTCCTTCCTTTTTTGTCTGTTTCTGCATAGACTTTTTTGTTTTGTTTTTGTTTTTTCAAGATAGAGCTTCTCTGTGTGTAGTCATGACTGTCTTGGAAGTCTCTGTAGACCAAGTTGGCCTTGAACTTAGAGATCCACCTGTCTCTGCCTCCCAAGTGCTGGGGTTAAAAGCATGCACCAGTGTGCACCATGCATTGAATTTTTAAAAACATAGGACTTTTTACTGATTCTTTGGGAATTTTATATCATGCATCCCAATTGCATCCATATTCGCCATTCACCTTGCAAGTGTCCCCTTCCTCAAAAGATAATTTTTAAAAATAAAAGTAATAATAAAAAATAACACTTTGTGTCTCAGTTTTTCTGCCTCTCCATCACCTCTTCATTTGTCTTAGTGGCACTGGGAGCTGTGGCATGCAGAAAACACTTTTGTTCAAACAGCTTTACTTGCAAATGTTCATTGAAATGAGCTTTTGGTATGGTAAAAGGTACACCATGAATGCCGGACCATCACCAGCAGTGCTCTGGGGTATTCTGTGGTTGCCCTAGTCATAAAAACCATGCAGCTAGAGTTCACAGGACCAGTCCCTTCATATCCTCCAGCAGATCATAGATGAGGTAGGTTACTATGGACAGGAGTGAGAATGCTTACGTCACTGTCCCTATGCAGATTGATGGACCCTGGAAACAATACAGATTGAAGACAGGGAGATGGCTGTCAGTGTGCTGCCTGCTGAGAAAGCACAGGGACCTAAAGTGGAAAACCAGCATTCATGTTTTTAAAAAATGGCATTGTTCAGTGCAACTCTTACCTATATACTAGAAAGGTCTATATTTTTCTTTCTTTCTTTCTTTCTTTCTTTCTTTCTTTCTTTCTTTCTTTCTTCCTTCCTTCCTTCCTTCCTTCCTTCCTTCCTTCCTTCCTTTCATTGTCTTCAACTTGATACAAAGAAAGGTCAGTTCGGAGGAGGGAACGTTAGTGGAGAAAATGCCTCCCTCAGAGTGGCAAGGCAACTAGGTGGCCTGTTTTCTTGATCAGTGCTTGATTTGGGAAGGACAGCCCTCTGTGGAAGGTGCCACTTTGAGTGGTCTAAAAAAGCAAGCTGGACAAGTAATGAGGAGCAATCCAGTATGCAGTGTTCCTCCATGACCTCTGCTTCCATTCCTGCCTCCAAGTTGCTTCCTGAGTTTCTGCCCTGGCTTCTCTTCATGGTGGACATTACTCTGCAAGATAAAAGACATGCCTGCATTTCTGAAGGTGTTTTTGGTCAGTATTCTATCACAGCAGGAAGAAAGAAGGCAAAAGACACCCGAGGAGACATCAGGGCAACAGAGTTCACTGGTCAGACAGTTTTTCCTATTGGTGAGCTGTTCAGTGACAGAACGTGGTTCAATGAAAACTAAGAGTAGAGAAACTAGGGAAGCACATAATGCCAAATTCCTCTTTCCATCCACATACAAACCTACCTGAACACAAACCCAATGCACACACACATACCTACATGGGTGTACACACATGCAAAAGCAGACACATGTACACACACACACACAGAAAGAGAAAGAGATAGATAGATAGATAGATAGATAGAGAGAGAGAGAGAGAGAGAGAGAGAGAAAACCTAGGTCCTTTCTGAAATCAAAACACACTTGAAGCAGTTGCGACCAGGGAAGTGTGTTCAAGTGTCAAGCACACAGAAAGCTCCGCTGAAGCAAGAGCGTGGATATTCACACAGAAAATGATTCTGAAGGGCACTGACCTCACTATGTAGGGTCTCACTATGTAGTGCTGGCTGCCTTGGAGTTCACCTTCCTTGACATCCAGATCCTCCCGTCTCAGTCCCAGTTCCCTAAATGGTGGGATTACAGATGTGCACCACCATAGTCAGCAAAAGAACAGTTGATCCTTGGGAGAACAAAAGGTGTGAGTGCAAGAACGGATTAATGAGGAGAGGGTGCTCCCAAGGGACAGGCTCCACAGAACAGTTAGAAGTGAAAATCAAAATGTCAAGTGGGTTGCTGAGATGTCTATGAGGTTTTTCTCCTCTGTCTCTTGACCTCGTAGGTCAGCTTTACACAGCTCCAGTTAAAGCTGACACAAGGTTCATCCCCCAGCCTACCCAAGGTTACAGATGCTTAGACAGCTGGTGGCAAAGCGACCCTGCCCTGGCTGGCCGTGTGCAAGTGCACTAGGGTCACCACAGTTGCAGCTTTTGTGAGTCAGCGCCCAGTCGGTGATGGGCTGTGCAGTGACGCAGCTGCCTTCAAGGGGTCCCTGCTCCTGTAAGCCTATGCCTGTGCTCCTGGAACTGATTTTGGTAAAGTCATTGGCTTATCAAGTTGGTCTATGGTGTGTCTTGGTTTGAATGGGAAACGTTCCCCTCTGGGCTAATGTATTTGAACACCTGCAACCCAACTGGCAAGATGGATAGCACAGAGGGCCTACTCAGGATGGTGGGATTATTCTGTATAGTACTGCAAAGAGTATGTGTCAATAAGCATCTCATCCACAGAAAGGAGACAGGGAGAAAGAGGTTTGGCCCGTCACAGACTTTTGAAACCTCAGAGCTTACTCCCAGTGGCACACTTCCCCAACAAGACCACATGTCTTAATCCTTCCCCAAAGAGTTCCAACAACTAGAGGCTACGAGCATGGAACATCTCTGTGACCCACTGTATACACGCCAAGGCAGAAGAAGAGCAGTTGGCAGCCATGACCAGTGCTAGAGAAAGCCTATGTGCAGGAGGCTCAGGCTGGAGAGCCCCGGGAGGTGACCTCACTTTCCTCACAATGGTCCAGATGTTACTTGGCATCCTGGCTGCCAGGTAGCCAGAGGCGGGCAGTAGCCTCACAGTTCAGGCTGACTCACTCATCCTGAGACACTCAACGAGTGAGGATGTTGTCCTGTTTTAGGAAAACTCGTGGCTCAGGCCACAGAAAAGGCAAGGGTGGTCTCCTTCGCCACCTTTGGGGACATTTGGTGTGCCTTGTCACACACGTCTGGTCATCTTGTACCAGGGAAGAACAGGTAAGACAGGCCAGCCTGGAGCAGGAGACCTTTCTGTTCTCCTAACCTACTGCAGTCCCTGCCTGGGGCTGGGTTGATCTGAGAACACTGGGGAACATTCTTTCTGCCCACTTTTCCCTTCAGTGTGTGGTAATGGGTTGTTGATGTCTCTCAGAGTTTCCACATTTGAGCTCCTTCCTTTCTTGGTCCTTCCTCAGGGTCAAGAGGAATTGGACCGCCAATTCAGACGCCTATTTGGACCGCTCAAATTTGACTATAGAGATCCAGATTTCATAGAGAAAGTTGTGTCCTACCTCCCTACTGCTCTAAGGAAGAGGAAGGACGACTTTGTGGATTCTTTCCTTGCTGTCTATCCTGCTTTCGCCACCACCCGGAAGGTGCTGGCATTAATAACGGACAAGATTATGTGAGTGGCTACACCTGAGTTCCGACCCCCACGCCTCCTGTTTTGGTTTTAGGAGGACCCTGCTCTTCTCCAGGGCTGTGTGCTCTCCTAGGGAAAGTACAGTTGTGTCCTGGTAGAGTTCTTCTCCTGCCTGCCGCTTCTGACTGACACGGCATAGATTGAGGGAGAGGAGATGCATCGAGTTTGTGATATTGACCCAAGTAGTGTCAAACACTACCCTTTCTTACGCCTTGAGCAAAGGCTTTTTTCCCATTTGCGAAGAAGGCGCTAAGGGATAAGGTTATATGGGAAAAATGGAGCCAGAAGGGATCCCTGCAAGGGCCCAAGGAAACCCTGTAAACCCAAGAACCCTGAAAAGGGGCAGCTTGGGTTCCACCTGTTTAGTTCATGACCTTAAAGATCTGTGACCAGAGGCTCATTCCCAGGCCCTCAGCATGGAAGTCAGAAGAGTACAAAGAGCCCGCTGCACTCCAACCCACTCCCTAGCTTCTATTCCTATTCCGGCTTTGAGAGCTCCCTCTAGATCTCTGGGTGGGTTGGGGACAGATGACTTTAGCGGTGACACCCTCATAAAATGCCACAGGTGTGGATCTCCCGATGCTGACTTTCTAGAAGACTTCCTTATAAAGAGGGGAGTGGGCTTTGGGTGACAAGGGAGGTAAGAGCCCAGCTGTAGAGTGGGAGGTCTGGGGTGGCTAGGCTTGAGGACTAAGCCATTACGGGTAACCTTGGTCTTGGGATCCCCATAGAGGATGATACCAGAGACTTTCCGTGCAGGTTGAGAAATACAGAGATCTCCAGTGATAGCTTTGGTTCTGAGGAGCAGAAGGAACGACGAGGCTCAAGGGCCCTAGGAGAATCCATCTCCAACACAGCAGAGTCCAGTTAGCCCATCCTGTCCTCCAAGGCACAGAAAGTGTCTAGGGCCTCTCCAAAGAGTCCTCACTCCTGACATGAGACCCAGAAGCACGTGGGCTGAAGAGCCTTTTTCTCATCCGAGGGACCCCTGCTGTGCTGGTGAAGGGAGGCCAGCCGGGCTTCTGACTCTACTTCCTGCTAACCTGCTCTTTCCTGCAGAAACATTCTAGACTTTCTGATAGACTGGATGCAAAAGGTACCGCAGGATTTTAGGATGGCTCCGGACCGGGCGATCCTGAAGAGACTTCTGGACTACCTGTATCAGGACTTTCCTCAAGTATTCCCCCGACTGCGTGTCCAGAGGCTCCTGTCACAGCTGGAGGCGCAGAAGTCCACGGAAACGCCCGAGGAAGATGAGGAGGCCACAGGTAGGTACCTCGGAAGGCTGGAGGAAGTTTCCTTGTTGAGGTCCACCAGGAAATTCTGCAGAAGCCTTGACCCGGAAGTAGAGTTGAACACTGTTGTGGAATATTAGTTTAAGATGTGTTACATTCGTTTATGCTGTGGAATTTAGGATGAATGATGCAAAGATGTCTTTTTTCCTTTTATGTTGCATCTGTTTAACTCGTAAAGCCTTGTTACCTTGCCTGCCTAAAACACCTGATTGATCTAATAAGGAGCTGAATGGTCAGCAGAGAGAAACTGGTGGGGCTGGCAGGAAGAGAGAGTAGATAAGAGAAGAAAACTAGGGAAGAGAGCAAGGAGCGAGAAAATGAAAAGGAGAAGGAGAGGAGGATGCCAGGAGTCAACCACACAGACACACAGTCACACAGTCACACAGCCACACAGCCACACAACTACACAGTCACACAACCACACAGCCACAGGGCCTCACAACCACACAGCCACACAGTCACACAGCCACACAGTCACACAACCACACAGCCACACAGTCACACAACCACATAGCCACAGAGCCACACAACCACACAGTCACACAACCACAGCCACACAGCCACACAGCCACATAGTCACACAGCCATCCATGAAGTAATAAAAAAAGGGATATATTGAATAAATAAAGGTAAAATGCCCAGAGGCAAAACATTTAAACAGGATAATTTAAGTTAGGAAAGCCGAATGGACAAAAGCTACACTTAGGCCATCCATTCATAAGAAGTAAAACATCTCCGTGTATTTATTTGGGAGTTTAGTGGTGGGCTGTCAAAGAGTAAATAAAATAAATAAAATAAAAACCAAAAAGACCAAAAGCAACTACAGGACACCATCAGATATATGTCTTGTGGGGAGAGGGGAGTGGGGATTCTCTGGCATGATCAGACCTTGTGTGATCCGCAAGGCCACCTCTGGGAAGACCACCCCATCCTGGAAGCTTCTAGCTTCACTCCACTAATGGTCCATGTCTTTCTTTCCTTAGATCGTGGGTTCCGCTGGACAACAACATCATTAGCCCTGATACCGGATGCCACAGAGATGCAGGAGAAGCTGCATCCTTCACCACCTTCTGTGGCAGGGCCACCGGGAGACCTGACACCCAAAGAGGACACTGAGAGCGCGGATTCGGCAACAGGGGGACCAACTCTGCCCGAGGATGGACCAGGGCAGCTTAAAGACACATCAGTCGATTCAGTGCACATAATCATCCGTATCCAAACTCATGAGTACATCCCTGCAGTTGTGCCTGTTTTCCCACTGCCTGATGTTGATGTGTAGTTAGAGAACCAAATCACCTACGGAGTTCCACCTGCACGCAGAAGCTCTGCGGCCCTATATAGGGAAAACGTCCCTGTCCATTTTGTTTAACTCTTTGTTGCTGTTGTTTCCATTGTTATATTGTTGTTTAATGTTGATTATCAATAAAATTTTCGTCCTCATTTTAAGTCATGGGGTTCAGGGACAGGATGTCTATTCACCATGTGATATGATCTACACGGGTCCACTTATGCAATGCAGCCCAGAGCCGAACAGGTCAATCCTGGAAGGAGGACCCTCGCAGGCCATCTGGCAACAGGAAAAATCAAACCGCGGGTGTGGCAGAAAATGGACAAGTAACTGCTGGGGCACAGATTCCAGCTGATCTTCATAATCAAACCTCAGAGTCAGGTTTAGGGCTTGATGCTGAAGATGAGAGAAGCAGAGCAGCCACTAGAGAGTTCTTACCTCTGCCATTGCTCAGACCAAAAGGAGGATCCTGTCCTCGGACTGACCTCAGACTGCTTCAGACCGCACTGAGTTCCTGTCACCTCCTGCCTTATATTCCCATCTTTGCCCAGCCATATCACTCCTGTCTCCACCAGTCCACCTCCCTAGTGCTGGGATTGCCTTAATGTCACCTCTGTTTCTCTTTTAGACAGATAATCTCATGTAGCCCAGGGTGGCCTTGAACTAACAGAGAGCCCTCTGTGTCTGTCTCCAGAGTCCTGGGATTAAAGGGGTGTGCTACCATTGCTTGGCCTCTAGTGGCTTAGCACTGCAGTCTGATCTTCAAGGAAGCTTTGTTTGTTAAAACACAAAGAAAATATCACTACAAAATCTAGTGGCAAGAAAAAGTATACAAGTGTGAATGGGCAGTCCTATGCTCAGTGGTGCCCCTAACCATTAGGGACATTATTTCTGAGCTCTGACACATTAAGGGTCACAGACATAGGTTTCCCCTTCTCCCTGGGCTACTGTTGTCCTAGAAGACAACAGGGCCATTAAGAGAAGGGTGACGTCGCCTTAACTGTAATGGTGCTCACCATTCATCGTTTTCACCAACCCTGAACCCAGAGCTGTGCATGCAGGCTCACCGCACCTTGTGACAATGTCGCACCCCACCCAACATGTTTAAACAGATCATTTTTTTTAAATAAAGAATTGCAAGGCTTTCCCACAATTCTGGAGGCATTAACAAATGACAAGGTTGAGCCCATGGATATTTTACACGTTTGTCTGTGGGCAATGGATTGGATGCAGTCTCACTGTTCACTCTGCACAGACAACCCTCCACAGGACCCCACTAGAGAGCAGCATCACAAATGGCTCACTGTGGTCCTCATGCTGGGCATGTGAGAGCCTTCGACCACTTAGAGGGCACTGAGCGGAGGCAGGGCCCTTTCAGGGTGTAGAGCAGCTCATCTGGATTCTCATCAGAGGACAAACACACATGAACACGCACGCACATGTGCACACACACACACACACACACACACACACACACGCACACACACACTCCACATCACTGGCCACGTAGGCATGCGACTTGGTGAAAGGTGATATACATCAAGCTAGTCCAGGTCTCATCAAGAAGAAGTGAGCTGTCCATATCATCTAGTCACAGAGCTGGGGAGGCCAGGGCCTCTCACATCTTAGTTACCCAGGGTGCACTAGCCAGGCTGAGGGAACGCCCACTCAGGCTGCAGTAGGAGACAGGCTTCCCTGTAGAACAATGGACGACTGTCCAGCACAGAGGACAGAGAGGCACAGTAGCCAGAAGTGATTGACGGCAGCGGTCTAGCTGTCCTCCCTACACACGGGCAGAGCGAGAGACGCCATGGCCACAGCAACAGGCACAGAAGAAAACTAATCCACCAAGAAAGGTAATCCACAAGGAACAGAAATGCTGGCCTATTCCAACTCTTGGTTCTACAGTCATTGTATTTCATGGATTAAACAACAGTACCCTCATTTGGAAATAGTTTTCTTTTCTGCTATTTATATGGGCACAGTGCCTTCTACCTTGGGGCTGTTTTCCTCTTCCTCTTTCTCCCTGCCACAAACTAGGAAGACCGGAGTGATGCAAAACAGGAAGTTTGGGGGAGGGGTCTGTCTCTTTGAGACGCAAATACTTGGATCTGTGGGCAAATCTCACCTGTGGACCCAGCTGCATTGTGTTTAAATAGCATATAACAATGTCCTAACAAAAGGCATTCATTCCACTACGAAATCGAAGAAAGTAGCTGTTTCTGAAGGATCAGAGAAGCGAGAGAGAAGGAATCCAGTTGCTTGCTGTGTTGTGTATTAAGAATGAGGATTAAAAGGAGGCAATGATTACCCCCACCCACCCACACACAGAGAGGAGAATTATCAGGGAGGATACTTAATTTTGAATGGGAAGCCTGTGATACCTTTATATGTTGTAAGATCATGTCACGCGTTTACCCCAACACATGATCAAACAGAATTAAGCCAACAAAAATATCTGCCTTTACCCATGTGTACCTTGAGATTCTCTCTGGCTATACTTGGGGTGAGGGCCAATCTGCTTGAAGACTTGACCCTGCATTTAAATACGTGTGTGTCCAAACTTGGAAGTAGACATTCTGAAAATCCCTATGAATGAATACCTCTTAACCTACAAAAACACAATGCTATGATTGATATTCTCTACTAGAAGTCACTTGTTCCATCCTCTAGTCCATGTTTAGGCTGGCCTTAACTATAGAAAAATATCCGATTTTTTTTTAAGGCCAAGTCAGTCTAAGCGTGCCCTGCTACCCCTCCGTGAGACAACAACAAAACCTATATTGAAATATCTCCTATCTCTTCTTTGCCTTCCTCTCCAGAGAGTCCTGAGAATTTTCCCTTATCCTGCCTTCATCTGATTGTGAGGAACCATGAGGAAAGGGAAGACCTGTGGGACTCTCTGACAGAATCCTTAAATCCCTGTACCCTGCCCTCTCTCATTAGGGATCACAAGGGAGGAAGCCTGTAGACGCTGGTCACTCTAAACGCCCCTACTAGGGTCTTGATCAATTCTTTCAGATAAATGCTGGTGCTCAATTTGTTTTCTCCTTGTTATGTAGCCATGGACTCCAATCCATGGAATGATGTCACCCACATTTACTGTAGCTCACAAGTAATCTAATCTACATAAATATCTCAGAGAGGTTAGCACTGGTCTCCTAGATGACTCCAGACCCTTTCATATTTGTCAATACAAATTGAAATTGTATTAACAAGCACAAGATTTATCTCATCCAATGAATTAATTTTTAGAAGGACAGAGTCAGCATGCCAGCATTTTGCAACTCTGATAAATTAATGGGTCCAAATATTTATTCACAATTACTGTTCATAGCGCAACAAATTTTGAACATCTGACAGAATAGTATCCACTTTAAACTACTTATTCCATATATACCCGCTAGTTGGGATACTTAAAGGTCTTAAAAATTAGGAAACAACGTGATGAAGGAACATACTTATTCAAACCCATCGTTCTTCTCAGGACAGTGCTTTGATGTAGTTTGCGCTGTGGGTGCAAGCCTGTGGACCTCTGCGCAGGGAACTTCCTCCTGGAAGCGGAAGTGCCTCTCCGGGTAGCCTAGGAGACACTGGGCGGCAGCACGACCTTTGACCTGCTCTAAGTGGCATTAGATGCTTAGAACCCCAGATTCCTGAAGAGGCCACGACCTTGGGTCGTTGCCGCGATGAAGGTAACAGTGGCGTCACTCCAGCCCGCTGGTCTTATGTCCCGCGAGGAGTGGGAGGGCACAGCCAGCATGCTGCCCTTGTTTGAGCGGCTTGGCCCCAGACTGGGCATCAGGAACTGGGAAACGCTCTTGTGATGATTTTGTTTGGAAGGATCCTGTACAACGCGTGGTGGCTGCAGCACCCTCTGGGACCCGGAAACCCAGGGTCAGGAGAGCACTCTCCTGCCAGATTCCCTGTAGTGTGGAAGGGGAATGAAGTGGAAAACATGGGCATGGGGAGGTGGATTTTTTTCTTTAAAAGAAGTATCCATTCCTCAGGATTTCCATTTTAACTTATAATCACCAATTGATTTTCTGTTCTTTTTTTAAAATTTCCTGATGTGCAAGCAGTTTGTTTACTTAGCGCTCCTTGTTAGCGCTTTGCTGAGAGATCCTGCCATTTTGAGACATTTAGTCTGGTTTTGTCTGGTGAAGTTCTTTGCTCATTCTGTAGGCTGTTTGTCCTATTGACATGTCCCATTAGTTAATCTTGATTCCAGATACATTTGTGAAAGTTTTTATCAGTTATAGGAGTTCCCTGGTAACTATTTTAGGATAACTTATGTATTTTATCATATCGTCTTCAAATAAAGATACTTTTACCTCTTCCTTTCTAATTTGTGTCCCCCTGACCTCCTTCAGTGTTCCTATTGCTCTAGCTAGAACTTCAGGTACTATTTTGAATGCATATGGAGGGAACGGATAACCCTGTCCTGTTCCTGATTTCAGTGGAATTGCTTTGGATTTCTCTCCATTTAATTTGATGTTGGCTATAAACTTGCTGTAAACTGTCTTTATTATGTTTAGGTATATCCCTTGTATTCCTACTCTCTTCAATATTTTTTATCATGAATGGGTGTTGAATTTTTGCCAAAGGCCTTTATTGCATCTAATGAGATAACCATGTGAATTTTTTTTCCAGATTTTTTTTTTTTTGCTTGGTTGATTACATATACTGCTTTTTGTCTATTGAACCATCCATGTATCTCTGGAATGCAGTCTACTTTATCATGGTGGATGATGTTTTTGATATGTTCTTGGATTCAGTTTACAAGTATTTTAATGACTATGTTTTTGTCGATGGTTGTGAGAGAAATTGGTCTGTAATTCTCTCTCTTTTGTTGAGTCTTTATGTGGTTTGAATACCAGAGAAACTGTGTCCTCATAAAATGAATTGGGAAGTGTTCCTCCTGTTTCTATTTTGTGGAATAATTTGAGGAATATTGGCATTAACTCCTCTTTAAAAGTCTCGTAGAATCCTATGCTAATACCATCTTACTCTGGGCTTTTTTTGGTTAGAAGTTTTCTAGTGACTGCTTCTATATCACTAGGGGTTATAGGGCTACTTAAATCATGTATCTGATCTTGATTTAACTTTGGTAAGTGATATCTATCAAGAAAATTGTCCCTTTCTTTTAGAGCTTCCA